AAATATAATTTATGCTCTTTAGGAGCAAGTAATATTCTTCTAGAATATTAATTATAATATTGTGCTACTTCAGGAGCAACAATATAATAATTTATCGTTTTAAATTTATGAAAGAACATTTAAAATATCTAAACAAGTTAAAAATATTAAATATCATACAAATAAGAATTGATCAAAGAAAAGAATAAATAGGAATTGAATAAATTAGAACTCAGAAACTGATTGCATACATATGAATTGGAGCACAAAAATTATGGTTGCAGACAATTGGCAGAATTGATACAAATTCAATAATGACAAGATTGACAAAATTGACACATGAATTGACAAAAGAAAAATCACACGTGAATTGGCAAGCAGATTTTTTTTTAAAAAAAAAATTATGGTGACAAGCAGAGAATACAATGTTGGCGCGCAATTGATACAGTTGGTTTGGCATGCAGATCAAAAAATCGGCAGAAAGCTGGAAGGAAAAAGAAGAAATTGATTGCAGCAAATTCCTTTCAATTCAGTTTAAGAATAACAATTTGCAAGGAGAAATTGATGTGCTATAATGTATCCGTATAAAAAATAAAAAAATTCACATGTTATCAAATTAATTTTGGTACACGTGATAGATGATTATATTTAAAAAAAATTACTACCTTTTCTAAACTTTGAAGAATTAAGATTTCGTCCTGATAACGTGTTATAAAAAAAGAGAAAAAGAGAAGAGAATGAGAGAAGTCAATAAACTTGTGTATATTATAATGAAAACCAAAGTCCTATATTTATAGGGAAGGAATATGGATACATATGATAATTATATCTAGGGCTCCAAGAGTGCAAGTGTTATTCACACTAAACCCTAATTTACTTTTCTTTTACAATACTAAGTATTTCATTTATAAAATTGCTCTTAAACTCACTTTTGAAAGTTAGGCCCCGTTTGATAGCAGACATTTTTCACGTATTTTCCATTTTCTAATTTTTATAGTATTTGATAGGCAAATTTTTCCTGAGAAAATATTTTCCAACATTCCAAATTTTCCACATTTTTGAGGAAAATAATTCTTGATGTTTTGGTGGGTAAATATTTTCCAGGTTTTTTTTGGCAATTGGAAAAAATTATAAACACAATTTATAAACGCAATGGTATTAAAAAAAAAAATTCACTTTTATTGACAATTTCCATACAAAACAAAATCAAACGAATGATTTTCAATATGGTTATTTTTTTTGGCAGTTGGAACAAATTATAGATCCAAGGTAGAAAACATTATTACTTTAATGGACAATTTCCATAAAAAACGAAATCAAACAAACACCAAACTTTCAACATTTTCCACGAAAAATTATATCAATCAAACACAATTAATTATAATTACCAATAAAATAATTTCTAGATAAATTAATTCCTTGTAAAATATTTTCTTTTTACCTATTTTTCACTTTTACAATCAAATGGACCCTTCATGTTTACACTTACTAGAATTATGAGACTTGACTAAAAAATCTCACATGGAAAAGAATACAATAATAGTCCTGGTTTCCATTTCTCTCAAGAAAAAGAAGAAAAAGAGAGAAGAAAGGGACCAAATTCTTGCTTCATAGACTGAATACAAAACGGCCACGTTTTAAGATTGGCCAATTGTGAACAAAAAATTCATTACTTGCGAGAAGGACGAATATATGGGAATGGGAAGACGCTTGTTCTCTTTCTTTCTCTCTCTCATTTTTTTTTTTTTTCCTTTTTAATAATAAATTATTTCTTTACTGGAATAAAGCGTTGATTACAAAGTAACACAGTTTAGGCAATATTAAGGACGCAAAGAATAACTTTAGTGAGACATTAATTATATTTAGAGAGTAAACTTGGTAGTGACGGAGAAGTAGTTCAATTTTCCTTATTTTTTAGCATATTATTTTATTTAAAAGATTAAGTTGTTAAAGAAGTAACATATTTATGTATTTAAATGTTGTGTTCAATATGTTCATCTGTAAATTAGATTCATTTAAAGACCGGCACGTGATAAAATAAGTGTCGAAATTTAAATATTTATCTAGTTAAGATACCTCGAAAAAAATTTCGTTTCAAAACTTAAACTTTTAAAGAGGGGCATATTTATTACTGAATTCTCCATAAACCAAATTTATCTTTTTCCTTTTTTCAGAATCGATAATAAAATTCGGTTGACAAGTAAGATATTTGGAACTGATAACCCTTTAACAAGAATCCACTTTTGATTTTTATATGTTGAGCATATGACTCATAATTTTTATCAACTTTTTAATCACATATTCCTTAAGATGTCAAATAATTACTTGTAAACTGATCAAATTATATTTTTTATTCACACATGCCGTAAGACTCGCAATTTTTATAACTTTTTAAGCACACATTCCTTGAAACACTACTTATAAGCACTTAAATGATTCACCAGGCAAGCACACATTGCTCTTCTACTCTTATAGCATATTGAACTATACCACATCTAAAAGCTCAAACTATTAAAGAAGAAAATGTTTACTTACTTAAGCCCTTGTTTGGTAGGGATTAAAATTATGATTTTTAGTAGATTTTAATAAAAATAGATAAAATGTATAGTTGAAAAGTTTTGAGACTCAAGAAATATGTTATTAAAATTGATTGTTGACTTTGACTTAGATTAAAATCTGAATTTTAATTGGTACCAAACGGGGCTAAATTTAGTCTACAATGACTTGGCTTTGAGTTTTGTCCGAACTCTTGGTGATATTAAAGATGGAAGGATACTCTAGATTGTTGCAAATCCATTCTTTCACCGGAGAAGCTTGTTATGGAAGTGAGGAGTAAAATATTTGACAGGTTTCTTATAAATAGAGTTGGATGGAAGACATCCTCAAACATAATTAGTAGTTGGCAGAAACTCTTTTAATTTGATATAGCAAATGGCATCACAATTCAAAGAAACCCCAACCCCAATAGAAGAAGAGATTTCTTTGGACGATCTGTTTGACCTCACCATGAAAAAGAAGTGGAGCCAAGTTGAAACGGCTTACAAGCGATATCCCTCCACTCGCAGAGCCAAGCTCACTAAATCAGAAGAGACATCTTTACATGTAGCCATCTCTAGTTACCACTCTGAATTACACAGCTCTGATTGTGAAAAACATATTGTGGGAATGATCAACTCCATAGGTGATGATTTCGAGATATTATCAATTAAGAATGATAAAGGAGACACTCCTCTCCACCTCGCAGCAGCAGTTGGATGGCTAAGTATCTGCGAGTACATAGCTTTAAACGATCGTAAACTCATTAGCACTCGCAATTTAAA